ATACATGTCCATTCCACCAATGTTGATGCACTTCAATACACCCCCGAATACACTTTAACTTTTCTTTCTTTTTGCACAACTTTGTCAAGCCTGATTTTTTTAGGTCAAATTTGAGTTACCATGTCTAGACCGTCTTTTAACATAGATGCACTATCAATGTGTCAGATCATGCAGAATTAATTAGTTAGCTTTAAATCAGTATACTGCGTGAATGGGTAGAACAAGGCTTTAACACGGTGATTTGGTGATTACATTTTCAAGTTTCTTTTGGACTCACTGTAACATCGTTTATCTACGTTCTACAGCATGCGTAATGCCCTTGGCAACTTTTATTACCTTAGGCGATCCCAGAACTCGACTTAACAGCATACTCGATTACCCGAGAAGCACACAGACACACACACACACACACACACACACACACACACACTCACCCCCCCCTCCCCCCACACACACACACAAAAGTAAAACACACGTGCACATAAAAGCACGCTCAAAGAAGAAAACACAGCAGCAGTTTAAAGCTTGTCAAATTCGCTCCAGGTGAGCGTGTGGCGGTTGCAAAATTAATATAGGAATAACACCCCTTGCAACACAATGCAAAAGAAACGAAACCATACGTCTACAAACTGGAATACCACCAGTAATAAAATTCATAGAGCGTCAAAAAGTCAAATGGCTTGGACAACTAACCAGAATGCCCCAGAAACAACTAGCGGCTAGCGCTTACAACATCCGAGAATCCGGCTTTAAATCAAGGGGAAGACCAAGTAAGACCAGGCTGGATGGGGTTAAAAAGGTCCTGGAACAACATAACATATCTATCACAGACGCTACACACCTAGCACAGGACCGAAACTTGCACCTCCCCTCGAGATCCTAAGGATACGAGAGGAAGGAAAAAGTAAAAGTAAGCAACACAATGCAGTTATTTAAAAGGAACGTAAAGCCATCTCCGATAGGCTAAATGGGAACAATTCGTGAGAAGTGCCTTTCCAAAGGCGGTTGGGTATTCCAGGTTTAAGGTACAGTTAACACAAAAGATCTTTCAACAATAAATTATGACTTGGGTTTCAACTTGGGCATTCTTAATTTAGTATGGATAGCCGTTGCTGTTTTGGTGGACTGAATCAAGACCAAGCTGTCCATATAGTGACAAAGATCGTGGGCTAGCCAGATTTCCAACATAACTATGTTTTTCAGAGCACTACTTTTTCACACCACTACGGCCAGCGGGAGAACATTAGAACCACGCACTTTCGGACACCCT